GACTGACAGCCGTCACACTCGCAGTGAAGGATGTCAGCATCGCCATGTTGAATCTATTGCATGGTCTTGCCCAGGTTGTGTAAGGCACAAGCACAGAGCTGATCCATCGCACACAAATGGCCCCGATTGCCAATGGGCTATAGCTCGGAGCGTTTCGGAAGGAGCATCTAGAGAAAGGTCGTCCACGCACCCGCGTGATGGCCGCGTTCCCGCGTCAGCAGAACCCACTTCTCGTTTGAGATTAGACCGAGAAACTGGAGTGTCAGAAGAACGGACAACAGTTTTTGATGACTCCGATGCCGATGGCCCTCCACCAGTGTCAGATGCATTAACACCAGAAGAAGCAGCCAAGAGAAGAGCCGACAAGGGAGAAGTGGAGATGTCGCTTCACCCCAAAATACCAGGATCTCGATCCTCAGGTTCATCACGACCAAAAGTTGCAGCTGGGGTTCAAGCCAATTTGCCTTTGTCAGTGCCAGCGCCGGCAGATGGTGAGATTGCTCTCGCAGATCCAGATTTAGACAGCAAGTTGCCCTCATGGACAAAGCATGATCTAGGGTTTGCTCTTCAACAGTTAAGGTCCATTCGTGAAGGTGTAGTTCGCAGAACACTCAGGAAACTTCACATTCGTTGGTACCATGCATCTTTGAAACGGATGCGTACGCTGTTGGAGGCAGCGGGAGTGGGCAGTGATGTTTTGTCATTGCTGCCAACCATAATAGACACTTGTGATGTATGCCGGAATTGGCAGAGGGTTGGAGCACGCACTGTCGCATCCGCTAGAGTTCCCGAATCATTCAATCAAGAAGTTCAGGTCGATCTCCTTTTCTACAAGACACACATTCTGCTTCATTGTGTGGATGCCTGCATCCGTTGGTCAGCAGTCGCCATTCTTCCAAACAAGGAAACTCACAGTATCTTGGAAGGTTTTGCTACTTGCTGGCTTCGGCTATATGGTCCTCCGACAAATGTTCTGTCGGACCGTGAAGGCGGTCTCGCAAATGACCTAGCAGCAGAATGGTTTGAAAAGAAAGGAATCAAGCTGAACCTTCGTGCCAAAGAACAGCATTGCGGTTTGGTTGAGCGACATAATGAAATCCTGCGTAGACAGTTGCATCTAGTGGATAACCAGGTGACACTAGAGGGTTTGCCAGCTTCATTTGCCATGATTCTAGCGGAGTCCATATTTGCGAAAAATGCATTGTACCAGTGCGGTAATGCTTCACCTTACGAGGCATTGTTTGGAAGAACTCCTAAGCTGCTAACAACAATCACCGAAGAAACTGGTGAAGACGTTTCCGACCGAGATGCGTCACGAATTCGCCATGTGGCAATAAGTAGCATGATTCAAGCTAGCGCAAGCCAAAAGGCTAAGATAGCTAATGAGTCTAAGACTAGGAGATCAGGGGAACTGCTTGAACTCCAGTTGGGTGATTTGGTAGAGTTTTATAGAAAACCTATGACTAAAGATTCATGTGGATGGCATGGACCAGCTGAAGTTGTAAACCTCGCCAGTCTGAAAGATGGAATGCTATATGTGCAATGGCAGGGCAGGGTTTTAGCAGTGCGAGTCCAAGATGTGCGAAGGGCCTTGCTTTATGCCAGCTTTTTGATGCGGCCAGCCGGCCCAGTCCGTGTCTTGAAAGCCGGTGTTGAAATTCATCTAGGCCAAGCTTTGCGACTTGGTTGGATGAAGCAGGGTTCCTCTTGGATCGAATGTTATGCCAATCGTGATCACTCTGACGTTCTGGCAGCAGGTTTGTATGTTTCGGCATGTTGTTTGCATCTCCAAGGTGTGGTTGGTTTCAGGTACGGGACTAGCATTGGAAATCTCCCAGCAGTTTCTTTTGACGATACCTTGCTTCTGTGGTGGAATAGTCACTCTAGCGATTTGTCGGAATGGTATCATGTCTTTGTTCCTGGAACTCGCGTTCTCAACATCCCCAAAATCACAAGTGTGGAAAATGCTTCCGTAGTCCAGTTTCTCATGATCGACCCGACCGAGATTGAAGCGTTGAGACAGGTAGCCCCAGATATCCCACATTTAGGAGGAACATATGATCCTGACCTCCCTAAAATAACTAACAAAACCAATGAGTTTATCCGAGGTCAGAAAGTAATTGCAGACAAGTTTTCTGACCAAAGGGAGTTGCAATCCGAATATGAACAGGAAACACCCAAATCGACAAAACCCGAGCCATTTCCAGACCTTCAAGAAGTCCAGACTTCTGCTTATGAGCTTGAGAATCCGCAATTGTATGATGATAGCAGTGCCGACCAATATGCCTTTGATTTTTTGAGCTTGACCTCCAGGTTGGAATACACTGGAACTGCCCATGAATCCGGGTGTCCGCATGTTTATATGAGTTCTGGATTGGATAGTGTCGACTGTGTTGATTCCGATGATATAGTGGAACCGCCTCAGTTTGTAATTCCTCAGCCCATGCTCCAGCATTTTGTGCCTGAAACTTCCGCAAGCCACGCATCCCTTGCAAAAGGACAAGTGTTTGGTTTTTACGTATACTTCGGGCGCCGCTTCCAGTGCGGTAATCGAAAGAGTGAACAACATATTAACCAGACAAGAAGCACTACAGCATGTAGATGAATGTAAGGAAGCAATGCTTTTGGAACTCATGCGCTGGATAAAGCATAAAGCATGGAAAAGGGGAAGACGAACTGATGCACAAAATACCTTGAAAAGTAAATGGGTTTTGAAATGGAAGGATATAGGTCAAGGAGAAAGTAAGTCCCGTAAAATTAAGGCACGCCTGGTAGCCCAAGGGTTTTTAGACAAACAGGTAACCGATACTTTTGCTGGGACATCCACCAGGTGGAGCCAAAGACTGCTGATTGCAATAGCAGTACAGAATGCTTGGAATTTGTGGTCAGCTGACATATCTGAAGCTTTCTTGCGAGGCCTATCATTCGAGGAGCTTCACCAGCAAGGTGGAGAGCTGCGGCAGGTGGAGATCTCGCTTCCGCCAGGGGGCGAACACTTGCTCAGATCCATAGGCGGGTATGAAAACTACGACCCAGAAGCCGAGGTACTTATAATGCTGAAGCCCGGGTTTGGGCTCAAAGATGCCCCTCGCCTCTGGTTACTGGCATTAAAACGGGTTCTAACAAAGGCAGGAGTTGTTGCCACCAACATAGATCCACAACTCTTTTGCATGCACAGAGAAGGAAGATTGGTTCTCCTCATGACCATACATGTAGATGATATAAAACTTTGTGGTGAACCCAAATTCTTGCAGTCCGTAGTTTCGCACCTCGAAAGCCATTTCGATGCTCTAAAGCTGGAAAAGGATAGCTTTGTGCATTTGGGGCTGCAGCATGAGTTGCAGCCTGATGGTTCCATCACAGTCAGCCAAACCCACTACATAGCCGAATTAAAGCCAATTCCAACTGATCGCCTGAAGGCTTTGCCCAAAGAATCAGAAGTTGATGATGAATACAAACATCTTTTTATGTCTCTCTTGGGCGGAATTGCCTGGGTGGTCCAAACTAGGCTCGACGTAGCTGTATTTGTGGGTGCCTTGCAAAGACGTTTGCAGAAACCAACTGTGCAGGACATAATCAACTTGAATAGGGTGTTATCCTACATAAAAAGTAAGCCCCTCATCATGAAATTTAAGAAGTTAAACAATCCATGGAGACTAATTGCTGTGTCAGATTCTGGGTTCAAGGGCGAGGATCAAGACCACCTTGCAATCCGTAGCGGTGTGATTTGCCTTGTTGACCGAGACTTTCCAAAGATTGGTGCCAATGACATTCAAGTGATTGAGTTCGTGTCAAAGAAACAGACACGTGTTTGTCGGTCAACATATACAGCAGAGCTTTTTAGTGCCTTGGATATTTCAGGTTTGCTTTTCAACATTTCATTGACTTTGGCCGAAGTGTTGAATGGACCTAGTTCGGCCAGAAAATTGGCCGAAGACTTCGAAAATGGACGGTTGCCGCTTGAGTCTGATTTGATTATTGATGCAGCCGCAGTATTCGACGGAATAGCTGCAGCCGAACCCAAAGTTCCAAACGATACAACAATGACCATACATGCCCTCAAGTTGCGTGAGCTTCTGTCCCTTCAACAAATCAACCGTCTCATTTGGATTGACACGCGTTCTATGCTGGCAGACGGGCTTAACAAAGGGTCCGTCGACAGACTGGCCTTGAGAACTGCTGTCGAATGTGGCAGATGGGACATCAACCAAGATGTGCGGGTACATAAAGCGCAATCAAGCAGCCAGTTTCTTGACCAAAAAAAAGCTTGCCATAAGTTTGACAATTTGCAGATGCCACGCACAGAGTGCGAAACCAAGAACAACCCGAGTCGAAAGGTGTGCATCCTTATCACCTCAATCTCTTATCTCTTGTGCTCAGGCATCCAACTCAGTTGTCGCAATGGGACTTGGCATGCAATTCGCCCGACCGCGATTTCAGTCTCGAGACTAGTTTCTGTTGCATTGTGAGAGTTTCCACCGATCCTTGTCTCTTTCGCCGCTGTGCATGTTTGATTCCCTTTTTGCTGGACTGAATTCACTTGACATATCCGACATGGATCTCCAGAGCGATGCAGAAAAGAGACATTTGCACGCTGCTTTGCCGTGCATTTCAGTTGACAATGCTTCCTACCTTGTTGATTCCAACTGTCCCCCCCAGTTTTAGGTCGGTTTATAGCCTATTATAACCCCCATTGACCATAGATATATCTCCCATTCTCTCGCACCAGATTGAAACAGTAGTGAAGTGTTCACCAACTTAGCCATTCCATCCACAGGGACAGGAGCCCCAGCATGCATTGATCCTCATTTCTCTCAAAAAATCCCATGATGTTTCCATTCTCGTTGGTTCATGCCATGTCCAATCCCCTGGGTAGCTAAGTTGGTGCAAATTACTCCAATAACTGTGGTTTATGGTTTATGTATGTTTATGTTACTTATAATTATAGTATTCATGATGGTTTATCAATCACATTGTGACAATCAACAGGAGTGCTTTGCATGCTGGGCTACTGTCTTTTTGACAGCGTCCTGGGCATGACCACGAAGTCGCTTAGCGAGCGTTTTCTTTGGATGGAGGGTATAAGTAACTAAGCTTGAAGCATCTTACGGAACAAATGCTCATCTGGTTGGTGCTTTGGAGCCTGAATTTTATGTTCCCATATATTGGGAATGTCATCATCCCAACTGACGAACTCATATTTTTCAGAGGGGTAGGTATACCACCAACCAGTCATGATTGTTTACGATTTCTCACGAATTATATGATGTTATATGATGTTATATGTATGTATGGGCCATGTGGCACTTTTCCTCGTACTTTCTGGTCCAAAATGGTGACCGTTGGAGGACTGTACACGGAGATGGGGGATCATGTTAGCATCCATAACATTCCATACGAAAAACACATCACACCTTGAGGCCATACAAGCCATTTCCAGCATGTTGTTTATGCATGTTCTTTATGCAAAATGAATGATCAAACATGTGGGTTGCCCTGGAACAGACCTCATCTGCTCAACTTGAAGACTTACCCCTCCGAAATCCCTGCGAGATAGATCGCTGTTGGTGCCGGTGCCTCAAAAATTCATAGCAGCCCTGGGATGGTTCTGAAATGTCATGAAGTTACCCGGCCTGGTTTCTACATACAAAAAGACGATGGAAAGATCCACCATTTTCATCCATGCTATCAATGTGAAAATCCACGATTTCGACTGGGCCAGGGCTTCACGTTCGCAAACTGTTGACATAACCAGAGGGTATTGCACCTAGGTTTTTCCATCAGTTCATCATCAATTCATCATGTTTCTCGGCGCCGGTGAGGATCCTAGTGATTGCGGACACTTTCTGGAAGGCCAGTTACTATACATTCTGGGCCATCGGATCCTTGGCGTTCCGAGCGCTGGCGCGGGTTCAGAGCTATCCTTGGAGCGGGCACGAGTTCCAAGGGAATACAGCATACAGCATACATTTATCATTGTCATTTTTTTAGTATATTGTTAGTATTACTATGTATGGATATATAGTTGTATTCACAGTATGTTGAACTATACTGAAACGTACTATAAACAAGGCAACCGGTTGACTCGGCGCCCTCGTAAGGGTGACAAATTTGAAATTCTGATTTTTGACGCTAAGAGACAAAATGCTGGTATTTGCAGGAGTCGTCAAAAAATGTTTGCAACATGGACAGTCATTTCGGTTGGCAGGCGTGTGACTCAAGAGTGAAAATGTACGTTTCGCCTGCGCGGTGACTCGATTTTGCTCTTCAAGGGTCAAGAAAAAAACATTAGAAATTTATGATTTTCAATCATCCGAATCATATCAGGGCGACATTCACTCTTCCAGTTTTTTCCTCTTCTCGACGCTAGCGGTGCCAGAGCGCTTGTGGCAATGCAGAAGCCACAGTCTGCAACAAGGCAGCGTTGTGACGCCATGTCCAGTTGTAGGCCCAAGTGTACCTTTTTTTGTACACGTTTTGTTTTTTTTTGGAGCATCGACGGAGGTCGCCATTTTTTCAAGTGTTTCCATGTTCCATCCTTGGGTACTAGCAACAATGGCTCTATAGGATTTATCCCACAAACGACCTCGAAAATGATAAGTCTTAGTCTTAGTAAAGATATTTTGTTTGTGGTTGACTTGGGCCAACTTGAACCTTTTGTGGGAATAATCCTTGACACAACTGACAGCATGTGCAACGTTTGCATCTTCCGTAACGTAAAGGAAGTGCTCGTCAGGGACGTTAATACACCCCCCACCCCCTGATGATCATACGACAGCATGCGCAACGTGTGCATCTTCCGTAACGTAAAGGAAGTGCTCGTCAAGAACGTTAATACCCCCATGTTAAAAATTCAAAAAAAATCAAATCCTATACCCCCATTTCCGCAAGCCTCATTTTTGAAATTTGCAACCTTTCCAAGGGATCGTAAATGGCACATCTCAAAATTGGCAACCCTTCCAAGGGCGCCGTATCAGCCGCATGCCATAAACAACTATAGTTAGTTGACCCACTCAACACAATTAATGGTTCCCTACTGGTAAACAGTGACATTTCCAAACGTCCCAACGTCCCAACGTCCCAACGTCCCAACGTCCCAACGTCGTGTCTCCTAGGCGTTGTCACGGTGATGAGTGCTGCAGTGGGCTCTGAAGATGACAACGACTGGGTGAAGAAGTTCTGGAGTTTGAAGGTGGGGGATGGGGATTTTCAGCTCCTTTCAGCAACAAAAAGCTGGGTTTTCCCTAGGAAAACATAGGGCTTTAAACTGCAAGAAAACATCTTGGAAATCAACAGCAATAGGGATTAAACATGATTAAACCAACAATGTCAGGGTTTCCTTTCCTGTAATTGTTCTCTTTGGTCAAAATAATCAAAAGATATAGGTGGTAGGTTTTTGCGTGTTGCTTTTGAAGTTACTTTGGTATTTGGAAAAAAAAAACTATTTTCCTCGAAATTGGATGGTACAACACATCTTTTGCAGGCTGGTTTCCATGGAACATGGTGAGGACTATTGTTGGGTTCAACTCCCAGGGATTTTGGGACATCACATTTGATGACACTGGGGGGTTAGTTGGGATATGGAGGTTTCCATAAGTTTCCAGAAATGGTGGATATCCCAAAATCGATGGTTTATAGTGGAAATTCATGGAAATTCCTCTGAAAATTGATGATTTGGGGGTACCATGTATGGAAAGCCTCATTATGTGATGGGTATCTCAACCCAACCAAAACTGGTTCTCCCCATGGACCAGGCACCTGTGAACGTCAAGAGTTGGCAGGCCACAGGCCGGACGTTATGGGCGGTTGTCCCAAGGTTTTGTCCAGTCCGAAAGCCCTTAAAATTTCCGAACCCTCTGGTAAACTAACATAGCTATGGAAAATCAGTATTTTTTATAGGGTAAATCATCTATAAGTGGTCTATTTTCCATAGCTATGTCAGTTTACAGAAGGGTAAGCCATTGAAAGGCAAAGTCACCCAAGAAAAATGGACGATTTTGAGGGCAAAATCCCTCTCGATCGTCCCCACGAGCTGGGAGTTTTTTCTGCTGTTTCTAGCAGCATCATCTCTAGTGGCTTAAAAGGAAGAGCTACAAATTCGAGGATTATCCCACTTAGATCATCTTAGATCCACTTAGATCCACAAAAAGTAAGTGATGAAAATAGTGATTAGGGTTACATCCCACTTAGTGATTAGTAACCCTATAGTTGAAAGTCATCGATTCGTGAGTTTATCCTGATTGGTGGTTTGGAACATCTTTTATTTTCCATAATATATGGGATAATCCTTCCCATTGATTGGTATTTTTCAAGATGGTTAAAACCACCAACCAGTTATCTGATTTATTGCTGCTCGTGGCAGTTGCTGCTCGTGGCAGGATTCATCCTTAAGCCTTTGGGTCTTTACGTCTTGGGCACCTTCCTCTTTGTCACTCAGCGCCCTGGCCGAGGAGACTCGCAGAGCTGATGCAACAAAGAATTTATCAACGAAAAAAGAACAAACATGCATGCGCACACACACATATATAATCATATAATCATATATACATATATCATATATATATATTCATAGTTATATTATATATATGGTATAGAATGGTGTATATATAGGCAGAGAGAGAATGTATCTGTATTATTGATAGACATATTTAATTATATGTGTATATATATATATGCAAAATACACGTAATTGTTGTAGATCAACAGGATGACTTCTCACTTCTACAGCGCTAAAACTCCAACTCCAAATCTCAAGGGATGGCGCCGAGGATTGTGCTGAAGGAAGGGATCAAGAGTGGTAGTGAGTGGCTGGAGCTCAGTGCTACGGACAAGCAGTCAAAGAAATGTCACTGGAGCAGCATCCGAATGGAGATGGCTTGGGACCATCCGATATTGGGAGATAATGGAAGAAACATAAAGTGATATACATCCAACTTGAGCTTCAGGGTGAAGTACTATCAGTGAATGCGTTTTTCTTTGCTTGGGTTGGGATTTTGACAGCCTGGTGGTAGTTTAAGCCTACGGGTTGAAAACCGTCCGAGCGTTTTAGGCATTTTTATATATGTTCCTTGGGGTGGGGTGGGGTGGGGTGGGGCAATAACGTTCACGTACTTGCGCACAACCGTGATGTTACGCCACGGCACGTTCACTTGCACGTGCGCACATACGTCATGCTACGTTGAAGATGTGTCACGTCACGCAGGGCTGGGGTGGGGTGGGGTAATAACGTTCACGTACTTGCGCACTCCCATGATGTTACGCCACGGCACGTTCACTTGCACGTGCGCACATACGTCATGCTACGTTGAAGATGTGTCACGTCACGCAGGGGTGGGGTGGGGTGGGGTGGGGCAATAACGTTCACGTACTTGCGCACTCCCATGATGTTACGCCACGGCACGTTCACTTGCACGTGCGCACATACGTGATGCTACGATCAGTTGACATCTTGTCCAGAAAACGAACAAAAATTGAATGACCTCATGTGGACGTACGTTCGCACATGGCAGTGGCATTTTCGAGGCAAATGTAGTTGGAAAAGCCTTGTTGGAGAAAACAGGTGCGTACTTAGCGAAGATGTAGAGATCACCGGAAAAAATGGCTACCGCTGAGGTTTTGGGCACGCTGACTTCCCAAAAGGAACCTTTTTCGCACTCCGACATGTCAACTATATACAGTAAATCCCAATGAAATTCAAAATCACAATAGAATTGACCTTCATGGACAACATAAAAACATGAAAAAACACTGCGAAACGCATGATTGACTTCTTGCCAGTTACATGAAAATGCTGTTTTTACTCGGCCCATTTCCAACCCGGCGGGTAGTTTAAGTATAGATGTTCTTTCCTCACCGGGATTTTTTAGATGCGAAAAATGCACATGCTATGCATCATAATTCAACAACAGAACATGTATTTTTTTTTAATGGTTGTTGTCCCCATTTTCAGGCATACCCTTGGTAGGGAAGCCCGGAAACCGGGAGGTGGAGTTTTTTTTGTTTTTTTGGACATGAGTTCTCGGGAGACCAGCAACTAACATATGCATATCGTATGCAACACATGGAAGGATTTTTGGATACAACCAACCCCCCAGTCAGGTGACAGAATCATGAGTGCTTAAGATGACGGATTTGAACCACCAACAACTATGATCAGAAGGTGCGAATCCTAGCCACTTAGCCACGGAGGGGTGGTTGCTAACCCGGGGTCATCCTGCATAGACCCCGCGCTGACGGATCCCAACTTGAAGAGCAAACTCGTAGACGTTGAAGTGGATCAAGGGTACGAATACCTTAAGGATCCTTAATGTGAAGCTTGATTTGCGGGCGCAACTGTATTCTGGCAAAAATGTGAAGGTGTTCGTACCTGCAACACATGAACATTTGCAGGTATTAGTCACTGTCCGCAATGAAAACAACACTGCGAAGAGCATCGAAGAGCCCATTTTATGCCAAGAACACAGGTGTTGGCAACGCTTGGGGTTTCGCGAACAGCGTGAAAAATCAACATGCTGTGAGCTTGAAGCCCCCGGCAGATGTAATTGATGGTAATCCATTTGCTTGAACAGGTAATATAAATTGATATAACCCATGCTGACCTAGGATTAATGACGCCCAGTTTGCTAAGAGGTACCAGTTCTAAGGTGTTGCTAATTCTGTTTGGGGTAAACCCTGCCAATGAATCGACGGGGTGAATCCATCCGCAGCCAAGCTCCGTTGAAACTCAGATGTCTGGCGGACATCGCAACTCTTTTCTGTTCACTGATATCCCACATTTATAGATGATATTCCAATATTCCCATTAAAACATATTAAACATAAAACACAACACGATTTATAGCAAGTTTTCCAGCTTGCCATGTTTGACACCATACGTTTATTTCAGCTTTTCTCTCCGTTCTGAGGCTTTTTCACTGAACAGATAGATTGGCAAACAGCTGAGAACCATCCCAGCTTGTACCAGAACGATAGCAACTTCACCAGTGACTTCGCGTCCCGAAGCTGTGAATAGAGCCAGGGGTCTGGTGGACCTGCTGGTTTAATGTCACACATGATACATATCTTTCAAGCTTCCCAGCTTGGATCATGGGCAAACTTGCAGGAAACCTTTGCATTTCATGGTAAGAGCCATGCTTTTTGACATTGCTTTCCCTGTTCTGGTTGATCCATTCCAAGTGGGTGGGACAGTGGGACAATCTCGAGCCTTTTTGGGAAGAATTGCTTTTTCCCTTCCAGCATTGCAAGTATAGCAGCCCCCCGAAAAATTAGAAAAGTGTAAGTCTGGAAACTATGGGGGAAACGTCACAAGCCCACCATCCTGGGATTACTTTTCTATCATTTTGGGGGTTATCGTAGACATATACACCAAGCAGGAAGGCAAAGAACTGTGCCATATTATCCATTCTTGGCAGCATCCAGCCTGGGCATTTTACGATAGTTGTGATAACTCATTTTCCATGGCCATAAGTCTTTGCAAGATGCATATATATATATATGTGTGTGTGTGCTACTTATTTAGTATATTTGTATATATAAATGCCATCTATCTATCCAATCTATTGATTCGATTTAATCTAACTATCTAATTATCTATCTATCTATCTATCTATCTATCTATCCATCTATCTATCTATCTATCTATATCTATCTATCTATCTATCTATCTATATCTATCTATCTATCTATCTATATCTATCTATCTATCTATCTATATCTATCTATCTATCTATCTATCTATATCTATCTATATCTATCTATATCTATCTATATCTATCTATATCTATCCATATCTATCCATATCTATCCATATCTATCCATATCTATCCATATCTATCCATATCTATCCATATCTATCCATATCTATCTACCTATCTATCTCCACATCCATCCATATCTATCTATCTATCTATCTATCTATCTACATCTATCTACATCTATCAATATCTATCTATATCTATCTATATCTATCCATATCTATCCATATCTATCTATATCTATCTATATCTATCTATATCTATCTATATCTACCTAAATCTATCTATATCTATCTATATCTATCTATATCTATCTATATCTATATCTATATCTATCTTCATCTATCTATATCTATCTATATCCATCCATATCTATCCATATCTATCCATATCTATCCATATCTATCCATATCTATCTATCTATCTATCTATCTATCTATCTAGCTAGCTAGCTAGCTATCTGTCTATCTATCTATCTATCTATCTATCAATATCTATCAATATCTATCTATATCTATCTATATCTACCTAAATCTATCTATATCTATCTATATCTATCTATTTCTATCTATATCTATCTATATCTATCCATATCTATCTATCTATCTATCTATCTATCTATCTATCTATCTCTATCTATATCTATCTATATCTATCTATATCTATCTATCTATCTATCTATATCTATCTATCTATCTATCTATCTATATCTATCTATCTATCTATCTATCTATCTATTTATCTATCTATCTATATCTATCTATTGTCCCTGATAGGTAGCAGCTGGCAGCTGCTTGGCTCATTTTACCGTTGATGTAGCTCCTGTAGCTTTCCGGTGTGCAATTTTCTCCAGGCTCCTCCGAAACATGTCCTGGGCGTCAAGCCACTGCGGCCCTGGAGCCTCCTTGTCTTGCCACTCGGTGGGCGAAAATGGTCAGATCTCGTGTGCTTCCCGGGCGTTCAGAAATGCAAAAGGTGTTTTATGCAACAATAAAGTGATGGTTACCTAGGAATGATGGGCATATATGGGCATAGTTTACTTCTTAGCCAATTAAATATGGCATGTGTGTGTGCCGGAAAATGTTGGATATAATGTGCTTACCAAGACAAAGGCGGTTTAAGTTAGGAAAATGAGTTCTTAATCAATCCATGGATTTTAGGGGTACTCTATTCTCAGACAAATCCTATATATTCACATGCTGCAAGAACATGCAAAAACCAGGGGCACGAACTGTTTTGATACATTTTTCCTGATATTCAAGGTGGTAGAATGTGCTCTATTGCTCTTTTTCGGATCTTGGATGTTCAACCAAATTTGTTGGCGTGGTTACCCTCTGGTAATTTAACAAAGCTATTGAAAATTGCCATTTATAGTTGATTTCCCCATTAAACATGGTGATTTTCCAGTTATGTTAGTTTACCAGAGGGTACATGTTGATTCTCACTTGGCAGGGGAGGGGTTCAGGCAGCAACAATGAATCTTGTCACGTGATGTCACATGTGTTTTGTTGGATGCAGGGTTGGGTGCGACCCCTAAATCCACTGTTGCACTGTCCTTAGTTGTTTGTTCTCTAGGTGGGTGGAAAGCACAAGGATAGGCCCACAGCCCCCCAGTTCGCAACTTTCTATATATATATATATTATATATATATGTATATATACATTACAGTGATATGGATTCAATCAAGCACCTTGAAACTTATTGAAGTTGATGTGCTGCAACTGATTTTGTTGGATTGCAGCAAGACGGCCAAGCACACACTGCAGACAGAGGTTTGGAGAATGATGTTCCAGCTTCACATGGCCAGTTGATGCTACAGGATGCATGCCTATCATTAGCATCATGGGAACACCATTTTTGGGGGTTGGGGTCAAAGGCGTGAACTTAAGTAATGTAGGTAAAACAATGCCACAAACCACCCAGTTGAGAATGGTAAGCATACCACCTATAAAAATTATGATGGCTGGTGGGTCAGATGGTATTGTGTGAATCCCACATTAAGCACTATTATATCAACCATTATTTAATCATCATTAACCAATGAAGGATGGTTATGAAATCACTACTGTAATTATCATTATATGTTCATTTAACCACATAACTATTATATCAACCATTATTTAACCACCAATTTTTCCATCATTAACCATTATTTAACCATTATTTAACCATCATTAATGCACTATGTTTATGAGATCACCCCCAAGGACCATCCCACTCATCATGGCGAAGCCAAGGTAGCCTCAACGAAGCCAAGCCCCTCGGCATCCCTCGGCCGTGGACGGTTTTACCGGCCGATCGGTGGTGGGCATGTCATGAATCACAGATGAAACGTGGTGGACTGAACCATGGATTAACATTGAAAAACAATGTCCATGGTTTCTAGGGATGGTTTAAACCATGTTAAACTATGGAAAAGATGATTTTACACGCCAGAAAATTAACATAGAGCCTGGCAGTCATCGGGGTTGGAAGACTAGTTTCCACTATAAATTGGTCATTTTCAGGGTTTATGTTAATTTACCAGGAAGGGTAACATTCAAACGTGTGGACTTAAGGATGTAGAATGTGGGTTTAACATGGTTTAAACAATCCCTAGAGATCAAATCCCATGTTATCTTCCATCCGCGAAAATCACAGCCTCGCGTAGGGAGAGTCACGATAGTGTGGACGGGACACCCAGTGCTATCCTTAACTATGGACACAGTCGACATAGTCATCCTTATTTATAGTAATCCTGGTAAACTGTATCACACATTTATCATCCTTATTTATAGTCATTAATAAAAGTGAGAAATGTGTGATATAGTTTACCCTTCAATAAATCATGGGAGTTCACTCTGTATGGGTAAACTGACTGGTGAGTAGTTTGGCTGAATGTCCTGCGACACGCCGTGCAGTATGAGTTGATGTGGCTACCAAACGATTTCTTCGACGTGTCCAAGATTTTCCCTGAATCAACAGTGAGTGACACATTCTGGCAGTCCCGTAGAAAATCTGTTCGAGTGGCATAATGGTTCCTTGTTGCAGCCATTGAAAACGACAGATTTCTTCTTGGACCACGAGGATTAGGTCCCAAAAAATTGGGTTTCCGCTCTTGGATTTGGTATGATCTGGAGAATACGAGGTTGTTGTTTGCAGTTTTGAAAGTGTTTCCTCCTAGCGCTAAGTTGGTCGAATTAAAATGGCCTAAGTAGTCTTACGATCTTAAGTAGGTAAAGTCCATGGTTTATGGCTATGAAATAACTCTGTTGTTAGACAGGTAGATCTAAAATGATCTCAAGAAGCAAATATCTCACTTGGAGTTTCACAGTGTTTATGATACCCTCTGGTAAAACTAACATAACTATGGAAAATCTTTTTTTTTTAATGGGTAAATACACCCCTATGGATCCAAACACTGTCTGAGAAAGTACTTAAGCCTCCAAATTATAGTAAATTATACCACAAACACTTCCTAAGAAGGTACTTGGATCCATAGGGCATTATAAATGGCCATTTTCAATAGCTTTTTGTATGTTTACCAGAGGGTATGTTCCGTTATATCCCTGGTATATCCCCGGAATGGTTGCAGTTCATACACCAACACAGATTTCACATCAACGGGGGCGCCACGTATGGTCCAACGGTGCAAGCTTATGTGGAACTAAGGGGGACGCTATGTGCAGACAAAGCAATTTGGTGACTCCCCCAAAATATAGAAACGCATTTCCCGGATGGTAGAGATTGCGTTTTTTCTTTGCACCCATAATTTGCTGGTTTCGAACTGTCAGACTGTCCGTTCTCTTCTTTTGCGGTTGTTATTTTGTACAAACTGATTCATTTTTTCATATTTGTTCCATTCTTGAGGATATACCCTCCAGTAAACCAACATATATGATCAAAACCGACCATGACTGATTGGTGGTTTGCAACATGTGGATTATTTTTCCCATCATATTGGGACTAATCATCATCCCAACTGACGAAGTCCATCATTTTTCAGAGGGGTAGGTTCAAACCACCAACCAGATTAACTATAGATAATAACCCCCACAAAAGCCTAGTGGCCTAGGACTTATGTTCACCAACTTAGCTAACTATTGAAACCAGCAACCAGATGAATCAGCACGCATCAGCAACCCGGCGGGTAACCCCACCCATTGAAGCCATGGATTTAGCGGCTTTCCCCAGCGGATTCACCGAAGCGGATTCACCAGGATCCAGTATTCCAAGGAGGACTACACGCATAGCGAGTCCTTGACCATGAGGACGTGACATTTTTATTGCCAAGTTGTGCCAAGTTGTGGCAGGTGGACATATGAGAATAGATCAATTAAATTAGATTACATGAGAGAGAGATGAGATTTGCTTAGGTTAGATTGAATTGGATTAGATTAGATATGGTTGGATTAGAGATATTTATATTTTCCCATTTATTTTAAACACAAGGCGGAAACTATGGTTTGGAAGGTGGGAAAACACATATTGAGGACCTTTTTTAAATGGGGGTGTTGAATATCAGATATATCAGTGCGACTGGATGATTTTAAAATCCCCATTAGCTAATATAGATAGATCTATGAAACAATCTTTCTACTATCCCGTATGCTCCATGGTGCTGATATATTTACCTACATTTGGGTGATTTTTAGGGCAAATGTCGGTAAATATTCCATACATGGAGCATATGGGTATGAGGTGGATCTTCCAAAAATACCGGCATTCTTGAGAACACACTTTATTACCCTCTGGTAAACAAACATAGCTATGGAAAATTGCCATTTATAGTTGATTTACCCACTAAAAATGGTGATTTTCCATAGTTATGTTAGTTTACCAGAGGGTAATGCAACTCATGTTTGAAAGGTTTGTCACCCGATGAAGAGAGCCCGTTTTCCCCGGTGAAAATGCCCATCCAGGACCCTTCTGCATGCCCTCTGGGATCTCTGGCGGAAGTACATTCGTTTGACGCCCGACCGCAGGGGTGTCAGCAGCTGGATGAGTAACCAGCCACTGGCTAAACTATGGCTACACTATGGCTCAACATGGCTAACTATGGCTGAACTTAGTCATTATGGGGATATATAGTCGGATATTTAATCTGACCCATAAAGAACCAACAGTATGGATATGTATGGATACACACACACACATATATATATATATACATATACCCATTGATAAATTATAAGGCCTTCACGTCGTGACGTCGTGACATCCCGGTTTGCAAATGGTGAATGTGAGGGGAATCATTTGCAGATGGACCAAGCTTCCAGATTAGTAAGCCAGAGGAGTGATACCCTCTGGTAAACATACAAAAAACAATGGAACATCACCATTTTCAATGGGTAAATCCACTATTTCTATGGCCATTTTCAATAGCTATGTAACAAATTACACGAGGGTACTGGGTATGGTTGTTGTAAAGGCTGTGCAATGTTTCGTTATCATGGCTTCACATGATATTCAAACATCCACGGTGTGTCCCCGGCAGACAAAAAGTACGGTGTGGACAATAATGGTCAACTAACGCGGCAAAAATGCCATATACTTGTTTTTGAGCGGAGTGAGTGACGCAGTCAACAAAATCTGACAATCATGTGGTGTTCTTTGGAGCGCATTGGAGGAGGTGTCATCAGTATTTCGTCCAGCTTTGAAGTGGTCAACGGTTTATTCAGATTACCCTCTGGTAAACTAACATGACTATGGAAAATCACCATTTTCAATGGGTAAATCCACTATAAATGGCCCATTTTCAATAGCTTTTTGTATTTTTTCCAGAGGGTAATTGTGTCATGCATCTGTCCTTTTCATGTTCAATCAGGCCATGTATCATATGGTTGGGTGGTCATGTGTTCACCACTTTTATTGGCATAATCCCCACTTCTTGTTATAGCACCCAAAAAAACGCGGACAGAAAAGAAACTATGGTCACTTATATAGAGAAGTTGATTACTAAATCTTAAAGATTGTGAAACATGGCTTGCTGGGGAAGCCATCATTCAGCTCGACAGCTAGCCAGGTTGGATTTCCAACGAGGCTCTCGCAATATTCCATTATTCATATCCCATTAGTATTATATTATCTCACCATTGTTCTGTTTAAACTGCATGAAGTCACCATTTTTCCTGGTGAATTCGGATATTCATGTCAAGTTTGGATTAATAAACCCCAAACGGCTGTGCAAAATTGGGAGGCTACCATTTAAGTATTAGATGAAATGATTATTAGAGGAGTACCCCCCCAATTAATAAACCATGGTTTATAAACCATTATAACCCCCAAAGTTTAGTATAGTTATATCTACCATAAACCATAGAATTCAGCCACATATATATAAGGCAACTGAACGCTATCGACTGGCGGCCCCATCCTGTGGTGACCTACCATGATGCCTCCAGCGTTCCTCAAGGACCCCACCCTCGAAATGCCACGGCAGCGATGCCATTCGTCACTGGCCAGCCTTCAATGTGCCGGAGCAGGACGCACCAAAAACACGCTGAGTGCAATTACGACTGTGATGGACTATTACATAGGCAATTTTCCGAAGTTTTATATGATTAATTATGTATATATATATATAACTATTAGCATCTAAATTGATGATCATAAATATGACATGTACACCAGAAAACGTACACTTGTACATCGGTATATATATATATATACCTCATTTTATCTTTACATTCTTGGGGTTTCCATTTCACCCCAGGGGTTTGATCCCTTGCCTTGGACAAAGCCCAACAAAAAGAACCTGGCAATGGAAGGTATGGTCCACTGAAGCCCGATTTACATCTTTTCTGCATGTGTTTTATTACCATATTTTAGGGGGAAAAAACATCCATACCATACCCTATGATTTTCCTTTTAAACAGTTAGAGGCTAGAGGAGTTTCCATCCTCGTGATGGACCACTAGATTCCCTGGAAGCATTTGCCTGCAGATGTCTCTATCTTGACACAAAAAGGCAACGAAAGTAAGATAGGAAGCAATCCAAATGGTGAAATCGTTGCACTGCATGCTCCCAAGGGGGACCAGCCCAAAGGACTTTTCCCTGACAGACGTGGATTTGGAGAAACCGGCCTATGCCAACTTCACTTTTGCTCCAGCATTTGGGCTGTGATTGACCTTGTTGTTCATCGTTTTTTGTTGCAAAAAGAAGCCCCAAGTTCTGTTAAAGCCCCGGTGTTCATCCTAGGGCCAATTCCAAGCCACAGGCTCTCCAATGTTTTTTGAGTCTACGATCGAAGTTCCGCCCGGAAAGAGTTTCCAAAAAAAAATTGCCATCATGAACTAGGGCTTTTGATGAATTTATGAGGAATGTAACTGTATAGTTGCAAAATCGGTTTATAAACGAACTGATACCTGGCAGGCCATCTGCATGCTTTTCACCCTTTTTGACACACATTTGTCATGGGCTAATGCCTGCCTGAAAATGCGTTAACATCTTTAACATGACCATGAAATTGATCCGAATTTGATGCTTTGGTAGTTAGATGTCAAAACCACCAGCCCAAATATGGTCTGAGTCTATGTTTAATGAAAGGTGGGCTGATGATCATCAATTGTGCTCTATATATATATATAGACATTATATAGTATCTCGGGATGGCTTGGAACCAAGAAGCATGGACAATCCAGAGGTTAATTCCTGTGTTGCCTTGAGGCATACATTGGTGGTGAAGGGTCCTTATGGAATCGTAGCTACTACTTCTCGGAACGTGTTCGAACTGTACCTCGGCCTTGAAAGCGATGGTGACAAGGAACATATACACGGTGTTTCCCCATAGCTAGAAGGTTTATAGCTAGGTCATTTATGGTTTAATGGGTAATGTGTGTATATATATATAATATTATATAGTAAGCTGGGTAATGAAGACAAACTGAGCAAACTAATTGGGGGTACCACCTTGTATGACATCTGACACAGGAAATCTGGAGACAAATACATGTAGTTGTCGAGGTAGAACCTATTCTTTCCATTTCTTTCCTAGTCTTGAGCGGCCCATGTATGGAGGTTTCCCAAAGTGGGTGTACCCCGAATCATGCCAAATTGGACTATTTTAGCATTGAAAATTGAAACCCATGGTGACTTGGGGATCCCCCATTCGAAGAACCCCCCATATGGAGATCATCATGCAATGTTAGGGGGACGGGATTATTGTCGAAAAGTATCCTTCTTACTCCACAGCGTGAGCACAAAAACTGTTCTCTTCCGTGTCTGGACACGGCGGGAGATCCAGAGTTTTTCATGTCGACAAGTCTGCTTCTTGGAAGGTCATTGTTTAGCCTTCTAGGCTATCATATTGACATATATCCACATATATATATACATACAAATCTGATTGGTGGTTTGGAGCATTTTTTATTTTTCCATAGATTGGGAATATTCATCCCAACTGACTAATATTTTTCAGAGGGGTTAAAACCATCAACCAGATATATATATATATATCAACAATTATCAACATATATCCACATATCAACCATCACAATGAACACCAAAAGTTCCTATACTAGCAACATCTATCAAACCATAAGCAATCATGCTTACAATATCTTGCTAGTAAGACTTCCCCTCCAGGGCTTGGTTTTTCCAGGCGTGCCACTACGAATGTGCGGAGTGGGCCGAGGAAACGGCCGTGACCAAATTGTTACAACTCTCTATGGCACCCTGTCACCCTGGGGAAGGAAGCCATGGCTTGGGAAGCCATGGGGTTTGCGCCATGAAACCATCGATTTCCTGGTTAATCTATGGTTAATCTATGGTTAATAATGGTTAATAATTGGAATAACAATATATCTGGTTGGTGGTGACTGGAACATGAATGGATTATGACTTTCCATATATTGGGAATTTCATCATCGCAACTGACGAGCTCCATCATTTTTCAGAGGGGTAGGCTCAACCACCAACCAGACATCCATTCCAACCAGACATAATAATACCATTCCCCCATGATAATCCATTATTTAGTAGTTTGGGATATACCAGTAACCAGTATAGCTTATAACATGTCATTTCATATGTTAGGGACTATGTTACGTTCATATCAGATTCTCAGATTTCATCAACATCCCCATGTCACCATGTTCTGTTAAGCCCCCATGTTTGTTTGTTGAGTCCCCATGTCTATTTGTCAACTCACAATCTTTTGGTATTTGAAGTCCCCATAATTTGTTATGTCAAGTCCCCGAACAATTCGTTAAGTCCTCATTTGTGTATGTTGAATCCGTATTTTTGTCTTACTGGTGATTAGTAGGGCATGAGGGAATGATCCACAATAACTATTTAACTATTATATAATAATCCCATTCCCCCATTCACATCTGGTTGATGGTTTGGAACATGAATTTTATGTCTTTCCATATATTGGGAATTTCATCATCCCAACTGACGAACTCCATCATTTTTCAGAGGGGTAGGCTCAACCACCAACCAGACATCCATTCCATCCAGACATAATAATAATCATAATGCCGTTCACCCATTTTAATCCATAATTTAGTAGTTTGGGATAATAATAATCATAATTCCTTAACTATTATATATATTTGTAATGATCATAATCCCTATTCACATCCATTCCCTACGTAAAACGCACCCATTCACGTTCTTTGTTACGTCCCCGTCATGATGAGCCATGGACCATCCGAGGTGGTCGGTGGAGGGATGGCCATTGTGGCGGTCTCCGACATCATAGGCCGGTGGATCAATGGATGTAGATGATAGTACATTAATATGTATGTAGCAATGTAGTATATATGTAGAAATATATAGCACATAGAATTGAATAGATTTTTCATAGTCAATAGATGTACCAATTTGGAATTTAACACAACTTGCTATTGAAAATGGCCCAAAAAAAATAGTTGATTTACCTATTAAAGATTGTGATTTTCCATCCCTGTCATATCCGATGATCATCTGGTTGGTGGTTTGGAACATGTTTTTTCCATATATTGGGAATTTCATGGAATTTCATCATCCCAACTGACGTTCATATTTTTCTGAGGGGTTGACACCACCAATCAGATAGATGTGTATGATAGCATATGATAGCATATGATAGTACATATACGTAGATGTATATATAGTATACATGCATGGATTCATAAATGTCTCATCTCTATATATATATATATATATGATATATGTATGTATGTACATATATATATATATATATGTATATTGTATATATATATATGTGTGTGTGTATGTGTGTGCATACACTGGGGAGCCAACATTCCGCTCAGGTGGCAAGCTGGGAAGCTCGGAGCACTTGGGCAATCTGTGCCGTCTTTGAGTTGCGGCAAAGGTTCGGTCGAATCGAACCGACAAAAAACCGCCAGTTGTGAGGTGGGCAAGGTACATCAAATATTTCAAATCTAATTGATCACTGGTTGGTGGTTTAGAACATGAAATTTTTGACTTTCCATACATTGGGAATAATAATTCCAACTGACGAACTCATATTTTTCAGAGGGGTAGGTCAACCACCAACCAGTTTTTGTCTAGTAACTAGGATAGGAAAACCATCCAAAAAATTCTGAGCCACCAGATGGATCTATTTCATATCCGCCAAATCGACTTCGGACCCGCCGTCGTCTCCGATGATCATCCGATGATCCAAGGAAATAAACTCATCGATCGAGATACGAACGTCGAAGAGCTGGCCAAGGCCCCCGTGGCTGTGAAGCGCTTGCCAAGACACGTGAGTATATAATATGATCTTATTTAATCGTATGTAATTTACTACACTATTTGTTTAGCTAGATTTTCTACATTATGATTTTTACATGTTTATTCTTATCGTACTTTGGTCAAGTTGGGTCTAATGTCGTGCTGGGGACTAGAAGCCAGTTTTCGAACAGGTGTTCATCCCAATTGGTCTGGCAAGCGGAAATCGAGCGGGATGACCCATACATCGCCAAATCATCGAATCCCAGTATAGTGGTCTGATCAAATTATTAGAACCACCTACATAATCTTCAATCTGTTGTATTGGTAAGGGCGAAATTAACAATCATGTCTTGTGTCTCGGTTATATTACCATTCTTGATGGTCCGCAAATGGGCAGGTCAAGACTTCCCATGAACAGAATTAGCCATATAGTTAAGCTGGTTTGCATCAGAAACTGGTGTAACTCGAAGGTGGCGTGGTGGTTTCCTAAAACTAGGGATGATCCTGGAAGATGAATCACATCTGTATCTGGCCCTTCAGCCGCGTTCGTCGGTGCCCCAGTGAACGTTCGCTAAGTTGGTTGATTTCACTGACTATAACAAATTCTATGATGTTTTATGGCAGGTATATCGAACTAGTGGTGTTTCTTTCCACTAAACCAACAAACACAACACATACTAAACTAACACATTCATATAAGTTCACTACTTTAACATATGTTAATTTCATTCCCCACCTGCCAGGTGAGGGTTGTTAGATTTTATGTCAGTTGCCTGCTCCTCCTCTCCTCTCCTCTCCTCTCCTCTCGTCTCCTCTCCTCGTCTCCTCTCCTCTCCTCTCCTCGTCTCTCCTCTCCTCGTCTCCTCTCCTCTCCTCCTCTCCTCTCCTCCTCCTCGTGCTCAACCGCGACCCTCGACGCACAGTGTTCTCTGTCGGACCTCAACCACGACCATCCACGCCCAGTGTTCCCTGCCGGACCTCAACCACGACCATCCCCGCCCAGTGTTCCCTGCCGGACCTCAACCACGACCATCCACGCCCAGTGTTCCCTGCCGGACCTCAACCGCGAGTATCCACGCCAAGTGTTCCCTGCCGGACCTCAACAGCCAGATAGAATGCCAGAAGATATGCCAGATGGAATGTCAGATAGAATGCCAGAAGATATGCTAGAAGATATGCCAGATAGAATGGCAGATAGAATGCCAGAAGATATGCCAGATAGAATGCCAGAAGGTATGCCAGATAGAATGCCAGATAAAATGTCAGATAGAATGCCAGAAGATATGCCAGATAAAGTGCCAGAATGTTTGCCAGATAGAATGCCAGAAGATTTGCCAGATAATATGCCAGAAGATATGCCAGATAGAATGCCAGATAGAATGCCGGAAGATATGCCAGAACATATGCCAGGTAGAATGCCAGAAGATATGTCAGATAGAATGCCAGATAGAATGCCAGAAGGTATGCCAGATAAAGTGCCAGAATGTTTGCCAGATAGAATGCCAGAAGATTTGCCAAATAATATGCCAGAAGATATGCCAGATAGAATGCCAGAAGATATGCCAGAAGATATGCCAGGTAAAATGCCAGAAGGTATGATAGATAGAATGCCAGAAGGTATGCCAGATAGAATGCCAGATAAAATGTCAGATAGAATGCCAGAAGATTTGCCAGTAACAAAATGTATAAATGTCATGGTGGGGATCACACGAAGTAAAGTTTTTTTTTTCATGGTAGATACCCCTCTGGTAATCAATCGTGGTTTGCTGGAAAAGCCACCATTTATAGATAAGTTTCCCAGCTATAGACCTCCATTTTTCTAGGGATTTCCCGCGGCCAAAGTTTGATGGAGGGTATCAACCATTAATGTTCCATTCATATTCCATCATCCGTGGATATCAGCATGAAATATTCCAACTTTCTACCAGCATGATATCATATTACCCTGTGGTTATTTAACATAGCCATGGGAAATGGCCCATTTATAGATGGTTTACCTGGGTTTACCTATTAAACATGGTGATTTTCCATGGCTATGTTAAATAACCAGATGGTATATCACCATGAAACCACCTTTGTTTCATAGAATTGGATGATGGGAAAATTGAAACCCGAAAGGCCGGAAAGCCCGATATTTGATGGTAACAATAACTAGTAAAAACACTGGTTTCCTGTAGCTTTTCCCTTAAACTAATCCATTGATTATAGCTGAGTCATCTATAATAACTGAGACTATAGCTAAGTCCATAATATCACCACTACATCACCATTACATCGCCATTATATCGCCATTACATCACCATTACATCACCATTACATCACCATCAAATCACCATTACATCATCATTACATCACCGTTATACTACCATTATATCACCATTTAATCACCATTATCTCACCATTATATCATCATTACATCACCATCAAATCACCATTACATCACCATTACATCACCGTTATATTACCATTATATCACCATTTAATCACCATTATCTCACCATTATACCATCATTACATCACCATTACATCACTATTATATCACCAATACATCACCATTTCATTGCCACTATATCACCATTATATCACCATCATATCACCATTATATCACCATTACATCACCATTATATCACCATAAGTTGGGATATAACCCCTATGGCACTATGGTTTTATAATATAAATATGTTACACCTACCATAGTTATAGTTTTATCATATGTTCTAGTATAGTTAAGTATTATATTGATATTATATCACCATAATATGGGATATGATATAACAATATAACTATGGTTTTATAATATATCTGGATATTGTTATATTATATCCATTAATATCCAGATATCTAGGTGTATTAATATTAATATTATATAGATATTAATATTAGATTTATCACCATATAACCAATATTAGATATATGATATAATAGGATATTAATATTATACCAATATTATAACCCCTATATAGATATATCACCATATAACCAATATTAATATTATATAGATAGAATATTGTTATATCATCTCCCTCTTTCAACGCCAGGTCATTCCAGGTGACGTCCGGATCTCTCTGAGTGCCCTGAGATGCGGCTCCCTCTGGCCCTGGCTACGCCCTGCGGACGCGGCAGCTGGGTGTTTTTCGAAGCCGTGGTCAGCGGTTAGGACCATGATATAGTAACCCTGGTAAGGTATCGTGCGCATATATATATATATGGATATTATAGATTAGATAGATAGATATGATAGATAGGTAGGATAGGATAGGATATGATAGGATAGGATAGGAGATGATAGGATAGGATAGATAGATAGACAGATTAGAGTTTATATTGCCTAAGGTGACCAGCGACATGAACGTTCACTGGAAAGATGGGAGAATTGGGATTGGATCCCCAAAAGGCCGTTATTTCGGTTATTTCAGCTACTAGTGGTTAATATAAAAATGGTTATTATATGGTTAATGAAGGTTAATAATAATGGTTAACTATGGGAATCATTCTCAAACTAGTGAACCTAGTGAACTATGATTCAGTCAGAATCGGGATTTCACAGACCAAGAGTTTGATTTTGGGTACGAAAGAGCTCCAAAAATGGCTCCGTTTTCGTGGTGGAAATATGGGTTTTAAAAACGGTCGTAGTTGTTGAAATTCTGTCATGGGAACCATCTCATGGGAGAAATAAACTCATCCATTGTTGATAGGTAAGTCCTCTAATCTATGGGCGATTGAAGCATCCATGCATTCCATAGCTATGTCAGAATACCGGAGTTTGTTTTTTTTAAAGATATTTATATATATATATATATTGCATTTAAATTGTTTTTTTGCATGGCACGCGCTCCTGAAAATCGGGGATGTATGTTTGAAACCACCACTTATTGACTTATTGCCTAAATACATAGCCTGTGCTAGGTAAACATCCGTGCCACGGGCAGAAATTCTTCAAACAGTACTGTTTTTTTTTATATGTATGGTTCCCGAGAAACCTTGTCCCGGTGTTTGATCTATTCAGCACGAAGGCTAGCTTCAGCTAGCTAAAGCCCCTCGTGTTCTGGTCAGCTAGGGTGGCAGGATCTCAAGTTTCAGGGCCCCTTGCTGGTGGCATTTTACATTATATACGGGATGGGATTGTCTAGGATTTGAAACCACCAAGAAGAAAAACTGTTCCTGACTTCCCAGCCTTTTTCGCAACCCAGAAGCAACGAGTCTACTTCGCCGGCTGTTGGTGGGCAACTTGGTTGCGACACTTGGGACTAGTAGTTTCTTGGGTATTATGCCCTCCGGCCGTTCAACATCACTACGTGAAATTGCTCATTTATGGCTGATTGACTTGTTGAAATTGTGATTTTCCATAGCTAATGTTAGTTCCCAGAGGGTAATGGATATTGGGGTAACCAATGGTAACCAGTCATTTGAAGTGCGGATAGTGTAACAATGGGGGCCAGGTCTTTGGCAAGCGTCTCAGTCTGCTTACCAGCCCCTGGGAAACAGAAAGGGATCATCCCCACAGGCTATTGAAAATCACCATGTTTAATAGGTAAAGAATCTATTTCTATGGGTAATTTTCAATAGCGAACTGTTACAAATTACCAGAGGGTACATTTGGGGCATTTTTGGGACTCTGGGATAAATGTTGGTAACTATGGCACCATGGAGCATGTTGGATGGTCAGCGGACTTCACAGCATATCTGGGCATGGTCAAGGATGATCGAGATGAGCCAAAGTGGGTTTTCCGCAACACAAATCTCTGCGTGTGTTTGTGTTTGGTTAATGTTGCATACACACACACAATCACACACAGATATATATATATATTTGATGTTCCACCCAACAAACAGTGATGATCCAACTTGAAAAGTCGATTTTTGGGATGTGATGTGGCACGCTGCGGGGCCAAATTCATCCAAATTCATGAGGGTCAAACCAGTTTTTTTTGAAGTTCCCCTTTTGTCCAATCATCTATGCTTTTTGATGAGCAGACTCCCCAAAAATCGAAGACCCCATATGCTACATGTATGCAATAGAAATCTGCAATTTGGGGATTGGGTCAAATGTTCGATATTCATTCCACCATCGAGCATGTGGGGGACATGTCTTGCCTGCCATTCTCCAAGTCAGGCTCCAGGTCGCCGCTGCCAAATGTGACTTACCCCAATGGTAGATGGTTAATGATGGTTAATACACCCAGAAGATGGGTTCTACATCCCTCATACTCCCCAGAATGCAGTCTGATTGAGGCATATTTGATGATGTTTCGGATGTGTTGGACACACTTTGGGAAGCGTCACTAAGTTGACCGTATCGGCTATCGCCCTGTTTCTCGCCATGGCAAGACGCGCCCGAGACGGCTGATCTCGACTCGGGAGGATCGTCCCGGATCGATATCAGCCTTCTCCGGGTGACACTGCGCTGGCACTGGAGAAAGGCACTGTTTTCACGGCGCTGTCATGGCGCTGCCCAGAAAAAAGTCAGAGATCGCCTGAGATTCGGATTGAGGGAATGGAATCAGATGGAATTCCTTGAAGTCGCCGCAGCTGCCACCCAGACCCATTCACAGCATGTTTGGGGATGGTTCGGGATCCAATCAGAGATTGATCCAGCACGTAGCCGCTAGATGCCGCTAGCACTTGTCAAGCTGAGCGAGACCTTTGGTACGAACCAGTAGACTCTTTTAGGAGACCAGTCGAACCTCCTAATGCAGCTGCCATGTTGATCCACGTTGCGTGGAGGTGGCAAGTTGAGCGCAAGCAACCTTGAGATGTCGCGCAAGTAAAAGAGAATCTGAACGTGCATCCCCACAGGCTATTGAAAATCACCATGTTTAATAGGTAAAGAATTTATTTCTATGGGCAATTTTCAATAGCAAACTGTTACAAATTACCAGAGGGTACATTTGGGGCATCTTTGGGACTCTGGGATAAATGTTGGTAACTATGGCACCATGGAGCATGTTGGATGGTCAGCGGACTTCACAGCATATCTGGGCATGGCCAAGCAAAGTGGGTTTTCCGCAACACAAATCTCTGCGTGTGTTTGTGTTTGGTTAATGTTGCATACACACAATCACACACACACACCACACACACATATAATATATATATATGATGTTCCACCCAACAAACAGTGATGATCCAACTTGAAAAGACGATTTTTGGGATGTGATGTGGCACGCTGCGGGGCCAAATTCATCCAAATTCATGAGGGTCAAACCAGTTTTTTTTTAAAGTTCCCCTTTTGTCCAATCATCTATGCTTTTTGATGGGCAGAACTGGGCAGAACCATAGACTCCCCAAAAATCGAAGACCCCATATGCTACATGTATGCAATATAAATCTGCAATTTGGGGATTGGGTCAAATGTTCGATATTCATTCCACCATCGAGCATGTGGGGACATGTCTTGCCTGCCATTCTCCAAGTCAGGCTCCAGGTCGCCGCTGCCACATGTGACTTACCTCAATGCTAGATGGTTAATGATGGTTAATACACCCAGAAGATGGGTTCTACATCCCTCATACTCCCCAGAATGCAGTCTGATTGAGGCATATTTGATGATGTTTCGGATGTGTTGGACACACTTTGGGAAGCGTCACTAAGTTGACCGTATCGGCTATCGCCCTGTTTCTCGCCATGGCAAGACGCGCCCGAGACGGCTGATCTCGACTCGGGAGGATCGTCCCGGATCGATATCAGCCTTCTCCGGGTGACACTGCGCTGGCACTGGAGAAAGGCACTGTTTTCACGGCGCTGTCATGGCGCTGCCCAGAAAAAAGTCAGAGATCGCCTGAGATTCGGATTGAGGGAATGGAATCAGATGGAATTCCTTGAAGTCGCCGCAGCTGCCACCCCGGCCCCTTCACAGCATGTTTGGGGATGGTTCGGGATCCAATCGCATTCTCACCATCGTATTGTTCCTAAAACCTATCAGAAACAGAGAAGATTGGATCAGGGATTGATCCAGCACGTAGCCGCTAGCACTTGTCAAGCTGAGCGAGACCTTTGGTACGAACCAGTCGACTCTGTAGAAGACCAGTCGAACCTCCTAATGCAGCCACGTTGCTTGGAGGTGGCAAGTTGAGCGCAAGCAACCTTGAGATGTCGCGCAAGTAAAAGAGAATTTGATCGTGAAGAGAGAGATGGTGACCCGGTTTTTGTGTGTAGAGAACGGTTTTTACATAATTATCCCAGTTGCTCCATGTAGGGAATATTAGCTACATTGTGAAGCACTTGGGACAAATATAGGTTTCCTAAAATGATCTAAAATGGGGTACCCCCAAATCATCCTTTCTAACATGTTTTTCTATTATAAACCATCCAGCTATTGGGGCACCCGCATCTATGGAAACCCCAAAATGTTGGCAAATGTTCCACGAGTCATTGGACATGATGGACATGGCCAGATTTGCACAGGGCCAGTTTTTTATCCCACCATGAGCCAATGATGTGATGATATTAATGGGTTTTTCAATGGGATTTATATAGGATTTCATGGGATAGGGATGGATCTCAAGTTAGGGCTAGGGGAAAAAGTGATGATAAACAACGTTGTTTCTTTGCCCAATGGGCCAATGGGATCCTGTTATTGCCTAGCAACCTTGCCATACGACTTCAGCAAAGATAGTCAATTTAGAGTCGGAAGAGTACCCCAGACTTGGATTCTTGTTCCAAGCTTCAAAAATGATGATGATTTCCCCTACGCACGTGCAATATATGTATTATGTATCTAATTAATTAAATATATAGTACTGTATTTATACATATATATATAGTATATTAATATATCATTATTGCACCTAGAAATATGTGCAAGGCCCATTAGTGGAGCCACCAGCGCCAGCGTTTTGCGTCTTCCGCGCACGTCTACGAGGCTCTCAGTCTACTTCTTCTGAAGGTCATGGCGGCCACAGCCGTCATGCGCTTCTTTTACCGCCCGCTGGTGGTGAAGCATCGCGGCACCACGGGGATGTCAGGGAACCCTCCGGATCCCTCCGTTGTGTCAAGGATGGGAAATCCCCAAGTGCTTAGTGCTGGGAACACGAATGGATGACTTTCCCATTAATGTCATCATTCAGTCATGTCATCATCCCAACTGACTTGAAGTCCATGATTTTTCATAGGTTGAAACCACCAACCAGCCAATTGTCCAGACATGGAGCTGATGGCCAGAGGCCATTGCCGGCCAATATCTGGCTGGGTCAGATGGATGCTATCGTGATTTGTTCATCCTGAGAAGGATGATAGTTGAAGAGCATATTCTTTGGGGGTCAAACCACCAACCAGATAAGGAGTTGTTTTTTTGTTGAGGAGTTTATTCTTCCATATTTAAGTCAGTGGAAAAACATGGGCGCATGTTAGACTCAGCACATGGCAGTACGGTCCAACAACCATTGGCCACTGGGAAGTGCCTGTGAAGTTTCCCATCGAGCTTGGCTAAGCCTTGCCCGCCCTGCGGGCCAGCGCTGCATAGAAATCCTCGCAAAGAAAAACACCCCTTGGGTCAAACTGAGTCAACATTCAGATCAGTTAAAATGATCACCATTTGTGATGAATTGTGCCATTCTTAGTGCAAACTCATCATTGAAGATGTTTACATGACCTTCCAACCCGTCCCGCATGTCACAAGAAAACACAACTTTAGCTTTGCCATGGTCAAAGGCCGACTCGCTTGACCAATTTTTCCAAGTGTGTTTTCCAATGTTATTGGATGTCCATATGTTTTCCAGCTGTCTATGTCCACTGATGGTTTTTCTCTAGGTATTCCGAGTCGCTGGCCGACCGGGGTTTGGTGCGCTGCATCTTCTATGTGGGTCTCTTCAACACCTTCCTGCGCTCAATGTTTTGTCACCTGAGCCTTGAAAAATACCTGGTTCATTCGTTAATAATCGTTAATAGATGTTAATAGGTTGGGACTTATATTAACTAATTACTAATTTATTGGGCATTATGCTCAACTATAGTAGGGAAATGATAAACCATAGTAGGGAAACCGTTTTCAAGCAACAAACGTATTTCATGAGATGGGACAAAGGCGTTTCATAGTAGCCTGGTTCACCTGATGATTCAGTTGGGCTTCCCCTGGACGGAGCAGGCTGATTTTTGAAACACCATCATGTTTGGAGATACAAAAAAAGCGGAACTGAAATTATATATATATATAATTTGAATATATATATATATCATTGAATATATATATATGTGTATATATATATATATATGTTTTCACCATAATGTTTTGAAACACACATAACAGCAACCATTTACCAACTGAAATGAAGCGGAAATGCAGCCCCATCCCGGGATGATCATACTCATAGATGGGGGGCCTTTTTTTGCGCAGTATCCAAAAAGTCAGCGCCAGCAGATAGAGTCAAAATCGAAGTCGATTTTCATATGGTATAATTTAGTGATTTAATGGAGTATGAATGGGATATTATTGGAATATGAATAGATTATTGGTAGCCATATCGAAAAGCACCCTTTCGACAGATCTTAGATCGACTTCAAACAGAACTGTCGCAGCACATGAAAAACCTCCGGTTTTTTGATCACGGTGCTGCTGGGAACCCAAGATTTTTCTCCGGGCTCAGGTTTTACGAAGGAAATGTGGAGCTGCGGCAGCTTGGCATTTTGAGGTTCTGGCGAGACCTCAAGGTTTCGGAACCGGTCCAACTGCAGATATATTCACAAGAATCTTACGGTCCTACTGGTTGAAAATCGAACAAAAACATATCATACATCAACTATACTGGTTGGTGGTTTGGAACATGAAGTTTGTTTTTCCCATCATATTGGGAATGTCATGTCATCCCAACTGACGAAATCACTCCAAGATTTTTCAGAGGGGTTGGTGGCTCAACCACCAACCAGATTCCCTTCGTTGTTTTCGGGTGAAATATCAGACTTCTAGTTTCGTTGCTTAAATCATTGCTGGTTATAGCACTTTGTTGCTTGTTGAATCCCCATGTTTGATGGTCTTTTTTTCAACATGTTTGTTCCATGTTTTGCTGGCTTATTGCTGGTGAAATACCATGTTCATACCATTTGTTGCTGATTAATGTGGTTAGGAGGGAGCGATTTGGAGCTATGGGTATTCATATTCCCTATTAAATGGGGAGCGATTTGGAGCTACCAAGAGTTTCCCAACCACATACTAGTTAAATACAATGTCTATCCAGGTTTTTTCCTCAGTTGCTGAAATCCATGTCTTTGTTGGTCTCCGAGGCGAAGATTCCGGCTTCCACATGCACGAGTCAGGCCGCCTCGGGGCCTACGGGCCTACGTCCGGTGGGTTCCATGGTGGCCCTCCAGAAACGTTACCCTCTGGCTATATAACATAGCCATGGAAAATCCCTAATAAAGGGAGGTTTTAATGGGAAAATCATCTATAAATGAGCCATTTTCCATGGCTATGTTAAATAACCAGAGGGTAGGTTTGTTGGTTTATAGCCCACTACTTTAGTGCATAAACTTGCTGTTAACATTTATAAGTTGGTTTATACGCCTCATTAACTACAGACAGACTGTTGCAGTTATTTTTCTTATAAACCAGAGCTAACCATAGTTAACCGTAGTGAACCTAGTTTTACAATGTTTTACACATCAACTTAGCTATCTCAACTTAACTATATTGCTCGGTCTATGAACCAAACAACAACTAGTTCGATATATTTACCAGCCCAGATTTTATTGGTGAATGGATATCCCACAAACTAAAGTGATTATCAGGTTTTTTCCATAGTTTTAATCTACTTTTAATATCAGTGACATACCATAACCATAAATCATGAGTTTAAATATTAAGTTCTATTTGTAACTGATATTATATGAATTATTTAAACTCATATTTATAACCAAACTCATACCATAACCAATAATCATATCGTTTTATATGGATTACTAACCGGCTTTGCAATCCGCAGCTTCCAGTCCTCCAAGATGTTCCAGTCCATGTTTTACCAAAACGGACAGCCAAAAAAACGGAGCTACGAATCGAGTTCACCCCGGTAAAATAGAAGAGTCAAACCCTACTAGTATGGTGATATATTACATTTGTGTCTTTTTGTGGATTACTATGATTACTACCCAAACTCAAATCTATGATTACCAGTTCTCCATGGGTTTGGCTGGTTTCACATCTTCACTTTCCTCGCCTGAGTTGATTCAGCCCCCAAATCTCTTCCGCAGTTCTTTCTGGTGCTTTCAAGTATCAAGTGTTGTTTGCATAAGATTTACCCCAAAGCGCAAGTGATTTTGGGATGGTTGGAATTATCCGTTCCAATTTCATCCTCAGAGAAATGGACGCATTTGATAGTATATTTGATGTACTCTCTGGACCTGACAATCAGAAACTCCAAACATGGCTGTGAACTTGTTTGAACCTTGGGTTTGAGCACACCGCATGGTATTTTGTTTATGCTGAAGTGGGCTTGCTGGGTTCCATGTTGGACATGTAACTCGTCATACCTACACAAGGTCTAATGGCTCAGAGATCTAAACATCAAACAGAAGCCCTTGCTCATTCCAGTAGCAACCACTTCAGCGTGCTTTGATCGGTAAGGCGACTGCATGTTGCTTATCCCCCCCATTGATGATTAGTAATTCAGGGCCCTTGGTATGAAGACACTCGTCATGCTGCGGCCTTGAACATCCGAAGGAAAAGAAAAAGATGCAACTTAGATGCAACTTTCATGACCAACTGGTTGGTGGTTTCAAACATGATTTTTATTTCCAAAAAAATATATGGGATATATATGGATATATAATCCTTCCCATTGACGAACTCATATATTTTTCAGAGGGGTAGGTATACCACCAACCAGCCAAACTTCGCCAGAATGATCATATGTTGGGGATGGCTAGCCGGCTGGTTCCTTTGATGTCCAGCTTAAAGCCTGGAACCTGGCTAGTTTTTGCCTTCTTGGCCATGGGATGATGATCCCCAGGTTGAACATTTTATCCGGGGTTGACAGTATTTTCGATGATTTACGGTTGGCTGGTTAGTTCCCAACTGCCCAGATTTCCAGGTTTTCCTGGTCAACTGAAGATTTGGTGAGTTTATTGCTAAAGATGTTACCTGATATCTCATTTTTTTTTTGGCCTTTCAAAAGACTGCTAGCCCAAGCCGTACGGCCCGTACGGCCGCGCCTTGGCCAAGGGCGTTCGGAGATTTAGCTTTGACCTCTACAACTGGATGCGCTTGGATCTGGAGAAGGCAACCAGCTCTTTCGCATGGAGAGATCTGCGGCTTTCGGTGGACACGTTTCCTGAAACCATCTTTAACCAACCCATGGTGAATCTCAGACGGACACTTTATATAGTGACACTCAAATGAAAGCTTCACCAATATGGGATCAAAAAAAATAGAATCAAATAGAGATAAAAAGAGTTTTTTTTTTGAATCAGCTGTGCTGTTCTAATTTTGACCCCTCTACGGTAAGATCATTTTCGGGGATGAGGTGTCAAGAGGTGGCTCCCCGGTCACAATTTGGCACCAGATGGCCCCTAGAACCACTATGAAGTAGTTCGATACGGTGTTGGTCGGATTCTGAACTTTATCTGGTTGGTGGTTTGGAACTATGTTCCCCAATAGTTGGGATGATGATCCAATCTGACTAATATTTTTCAGAGGGGTTGAAACCACCAATTAGTATTAACTACAGATAATATATGTTAGATACTGTTAGATACATATCTCTACCATGCCATGATCCTTCTGAATCCGAAAGCGCCAACGACTTGCTGTTTCACAGCACCGCAGATGGTGGACCTGCTCTTCGATTACACCTACAACTTGGGTGAAGCCGAGCTGGCCAGCGACCAAGACATCGAAGTGAAGACCCGCTTCGAAACCACCGAGGCCGGGAGAGATCTGGAAAGGAATGGAAGTGGAAGGAATGGAAGGGCTGATGAAACCATGAAACACCTTGGTTTGTAAATGTTTAAACCTCTGGGTTATCCTGGGTTTGTAGCAAGTTCTCGTGCTTTGGAATGGACTTTGAGGGATACATAGCCATGGCCTTCAATGTTTGACTCTCATTTTGTGATGCGAAATTTTCTTACACTGCCTGGCCACAGGAAACGAAGGCTTCCCATTGCATCGCGATTTTTGTGTGCAATGCTTGTCCATGCCATCGTGATCAGGATCAATACGACATTGCAGCAGGAGCTTCAGGGCTTCTTGGCTTGGAAAATGAGGCCCGGTGAGGCCCGACACTGAGCATCAATGGATCAGTCAGATTTATGACTGGGGTTTAAGCTGGTTCCTGTTTTACATTTATACTTTAAACTCACTCTCCATCTAAAGAAAGCAGGATGTTTTGCTTTTTTCTTTTTTCCCGTTGTGGTTTTCTTCAGAAAATTGGCCATTTGGTGGCGCATGAATGCGCATAACAAGGCAGTGGGCGGGAGGCCAACACTACCCATGTGTCGAGTGTTGATCCGTTTCATGTCTCCAATCTTTCTTTTTTAATACTTGGTAATAATGGTTATGTAATAATGGTAAATAATGATCAATAATGGTTATCAATGGATATTAATGGTTAATGAATGTTAATGATGGTGTTTTTTGTATGTACAGTGCGTTTTTGTTCATGTCTAGACATCATTTACCGTCAACTACCCATTAAGAAAGCACCTCCAAGGACCATTGTGAAGAGAAAAAACTACGGAGCAGTTTACGAAGGCGCAGGGTTCCTTATGTCACAAAGTGGGGCCGTAGTTGGCGAAGATTGTCGACATAAACCCTGGGTATTTTACGATCTACCATTTTAACAATCAAAAAGCAAGTTGTAAACCAACTTAGCTATTTATGGGCCACCACCTTGTATGGATGGGCCGTGTACGGACGTCCGCAAAACCCGGACATCTTCACATCAAATTCACGGGGAGTTATGGATGGGAATAGTGAATAGGCCCTGAAGTACTCAGGGGCCACTGGGTTTGATATGGATGTCCTGACGTGACATGCAATTTTTGTAAAAAAGCATCAGATGATCTTACAAGTATTGACGAATATTGACTAAACAAAGCAAATCTAGCAAGGACACGTTCGGCAACACGTCCCATCCGGGGGACAATTCTCATAAAGCTCTTCCCACAAAGAAGACCAGCAACAAAGCTTTAGCTGGGTTTCGCGGGTGGTTTCCAACATATGCATCATGAAATCGTGTTTGGGGAAGATAGGATCAGCAAGCATTTGTTCAAAGACCGCGTACACTTGTAAATGATACTCCTGATGGTTTGCATACAAGGAAATGCGCTTGGCCAGTCTGGTATATATTGTTGGTGTGATCTTGGCGCGGCCATTTAATTCATTATGTTCTACAAGGAGGTCAGCCTTTGCCCACATGGTTGGAGAATTCAAGGCAATCCAACCATGTTGCATTGTGTTTCTTTGAAGCCACCCCTGTCGTATAGAACATTGCCAATTTTTACAGAATCCTATCCGACGCCTATCCGACGGGCGGTCCTTCAAAACAACCCATTTTGGAAGGCCCCCAGCCATCTATCCGACACTATCCGACGCCTATTTGATGCAATAATAGTTGGAAAAAGACAGCCCTTTTGCTGCTCGATAGTAACTTTACTTCTGTTTCTCGCGATTTGTCGTGATCCACCGGGGCTGGGGGGATTGAATAAAAGCACTGCCGTAGCCTCTTTCCAGACAATGGGGCTAAAATACCCAAGTTGTTAAGAAATCCGTCAAGGTCCAGTTGCTTTAGAAATATGGTTGCCGGGTCTGGCGTGGATAACCATCGGATAGCCGTCGGATAGCTGCCCAATTTCCGTCGGCTATCTGTTGGAAAGCCATTATAAGAGCCATCGGATAGCCGTCGGATAGCCATCGGATAGCCAACAACATCACGCAACAGAACCATATGATGTGATGTGATGTGATGTGATGTGAAATGGCCATCCATGAGTTGGTGCGTTGATACCTCTTGGCAACCAAACCGCATCGCCACATAAGACCCCCCGGGCCCAATGCCTATCCCATGCGGTCATGACCCCTCCTGAAACCACCATTGGGACCCGCCCCCTGCATTCCCGCCCCCTGCATTGGAAGGCCCCAAGATTCTCAGGGTATGATGTTTTTGATTCATATTATCCATGTGATTTTTTAAAAAATGCCACTATGGGTTCGGCTTTTTACCATCCACTGGGAGTCCATAGCAATAGAAAGCCATGGGACGGACTCATAGCCATGGGATAGACAACTTGGGACAGCCATCTTGTTTTACCCATTTCACCTATGGAAGATTTCTGGTTGGTGGTTTGGAACATGATTTTTTCCCATATATTGGGAATAAGACTCCCAACTGACTAATAGTTTTCAGAGGGGTAGGTATACCACCAACCAGATTTTGTTGAAGCGTGAAAAAACCATGCCGATATGCCGTGCGTTTTCAACACGCCGCAGGAAGCAAAGTCTTCGTGCACTTCTATGGTGACGAGATTAAGATCAACAACCTGTCTCGGAGTGGTGACTCGACGGCTTGACGCCTCGATGTGGTGGTTCCGGGGTCAAGCCCTGGCCCATTGCTGCTTTAACGAAGCAGGCTGTTGATCAATGTTGGCAAAGATCAATTTACCGTCTGGTACACGTTTACATAGCTAGTTATGGAAAATCACCATCTTTAAGAACGGTAAATCAACTATTTTTATGGGCCATGGCTTCCATAGCAATCTGTTACAAATTACCAGAGGGTAACATTACGCAAAACCGACAATCCTCAATGGCTCCAGGATTCCTTCCTGCAAGTCGCAGCTCCCAGGGTGTCCATCGGTTTACTGGCAGATTTATATGTTTTTTGCGGAGCAAAACATGTTTTGGCTGGGATGGGACTAGTATGATGGGATTAGTTTTTATTTTCCATTTCATATATGGGATAATCCTTTCATATTTTTCCAGATGGTTATTGCACCACCAACCAGTATGAATGAATGACACATGGCTCCGTTCCGTTTCCAGGTCTTTGGGGTGAACAATCCAGCACGGAAAGGGAACCACTGAGGAGCACCACCTCCTTTTTTTTGGGCACACCCATTCATGATTTGTTTGGAATAGTGAGCAACCCCAAGCCGCTTGGCCCAAGCCATAGAGAACGAAAAGTGGGAAAGCTGGGAATATGAAGACACATACATCACTGGTTGGTGGTTTCAAACATGATTTTTATTTTCCATTTCATATATGGGATAATCATCCCAACTGACTAATATTTTTCCAGATGGTTATTGCACCACCAACCAGATCATATAGTTTTGTTGTTTTGCTACTCTATATCCAGCTATGATCTCATCTGGTCGTTTCTTGCAATTCCCGCCTCAAAGCTCTCCATCCAAGGAGCAAATTTAAACGAGTCGCCGCGGATTACAGATGGTAACTTGTTTCAATGCCGGTGGGTTCAGTTGATTTGGACACCATGGCCACCACCGTCGCAGACGTCGCAGATGCAGCAAAGCGTGGTCTAAATTCCGTTGAAGTCAAGTAGCCAGAAGCTTCAAGTAGCCATAAAATTGGTAAAAGTACTATTTTTTTATTTTTATGGTGTACAATACCATTTGTTTGGGGGGATACTTGGAGGGCCCTGGAAAAAATGCCACTGCGAAACTGCTCATCCCTCAGGGCTCGCTCCGGTTTTAGCCAGGTAGATTTTGGGGCTGCGTAACAATCTAATAGGCAAGAACTAGATTGCACTTTAAAAAAGCAACAGTGATCTATGAAACCTCAGGAACACATGGATTATAATGTGGTTTATAATGTGCGGGGTGATCGGGTTGAGGGTTATCATCATGGTTATCATGGGGCCAACAACCAAAAAAAACAAGGGACAATGGTCATTTTTGAGACCTCCTGCGTTTTGATTCGGGACGGATGGGTTGAGATGACGCTAATGTTATTGGATTACCTGCTGGTAATTTAACATAATGTCGGTAAATGTCGGTAACACAATTTCATAAACCATCCTTTAAATCACATTTTTTAAGGTGGGATTCAAACCATTCCCAGTCATGGGTGGTTTATGACATTGTTTTACCCACATTAGATTTGGAACATGACCGATAAAAACTTCGATGATTTGGCTGTAGAAAAGGTGATGTTTCCAGTTCCCGATGTTAATCATTGCCAGAGCTTATATCACATTAAGTGGATTATGATCGCATTACATTCCATTACATTCCATTACATTCCATTACATTCCATTAAATCACATTGTCATTTTCTGGTTGGTGGTTTGGAACATGAATTTTATGTTTTCCATATCTTGGGAATTTCATCATCCCAACTGACGAAGTCATATTTTTCAGAGGGGTAGGTATACCACCAACCAGATAGATATTCACTTCATGTCATTAAATTCCATTAAATCACATTGTCATCTTGTTTTTGTGTTTGTTAATGGTGTATGTTGATGCCAATTTGATGCCTTCAGGCAAAGGCAAGGAGTGGATGCACAAGATTCCCATCGAGAAGAACTCCTTGGCTCAAGCAGGAGCTGATAAAGATCAGTGGCAGGCGGGCCTGGCACTCGAAAACGTTTGCCTCAGAAAGCGTGCGCAAGTTCGGAGCTATGATATACATTGATATATATATATATATACTGTTTGGTGGTTTCAAGCATGAATTTTATTTTCCATTTCATATATGGGATGTCATCCTTCCATTGACGAACTCATATTTTTCAAGATGGTTAAAACCACCAACCATATACATATATAACCATATTAATTATAATATGTTTTCAATATATATATATATCTCTCTCTCTCTCTAATCCCCCCGACAATAACCTGCACAAAGCCTGGAGCCCGGGTTCCAAAGTTGGGATCTCATGGTGGTGTTTTTTTGTTGGGGTCGTAGAGTCGGACTCTTCTGCTTTTGATTGAACAAATTGGTCATGTTACTACCATCTGGTTATGACTAACATAGCCATGGAAAATCCCTTATAAATGCAGGTATCTAGCTGGGAAAATCATCTAATTATGTCTATGGGCCATCTATACCAGTGCTATGTTAAATAACCAGAGGGTACCATTTTAATATTGCCAAATGTATCCAAATGTCATATCTGCCAGAATCTGCCATACAAAAGTATATCGTAAGTGTCATTATTTCATTTATGATATGTAAAAGATTTTGAAATCGGAAGTGGCTTGGTGAAATCCCCCCCTGGTGCAGTGCACCGAAGCCCACCAGGTTGAACTGAAGCGATTTCTCAGGCTAAAAATGGCCGCAACGGGACCGTGAAGTCGCGTCGCGTCTCCAGTTAAGCAGTGTTAAGCAGTGATAGGAAGTCCACCTCGGTGATCCTGCAAAAACATTTTTTTTTTAAGGTTCAAACATGGTGAAACCAACCAAAATAGGTTGACTCAAGCATTAACAAATAAAGTTATATATACTTAAGGGTCAAACATGTGGATTCATCATGAAAAAACATGTTTTTTAAGCAGCGGTGAATTGTGGTTTAACCAGCAGCGATGGGTATAAAAGGGGGCCTAAACAGGAGGAAATGAGGTAAATCCAATGGCGCGCGTCCAACGATGTTGTGGATGTTATGGTGTGTCTAAAAGCGGGTATACCACCAAACAAATGCAATTTAGATGGGACAATTATAAACTATAAACAAGTTTTTTGTACCTCAACCCCACATAGGAAATTATTGTATTACATGGTGTTGTGCATCTGGTCATATTATTGGACAGTTATAGGATAAGAACGATGAAATCATCGCGTCTATACACATGGGCTGCAGCATCACGGGCGGCCCATATGCAGGTTTCCATACATGGGGGTACCCCTGAATCATCCATGTTAATGGGATTTTCCCTTATCAACCATCCATTTTGGGGTACCCCCATTGATGGAAACCCCCATATGGAGATTCTACAATGGGTGAACCTTGTTTGTGTGTATGAATATGTGAACCCATATATTAAGACCTCCAGTTAAGGGATGGTTTTGACACATGGCAAAATTGGGGGCAGTTTGTTAATGTGGCTAAAAAACAATGCCATAAACCATCCCCTAAATCACCATAAATAGAGGGTATAAACCATTCCCAAATGGGTGGTTTATGATTGTTTTACCCACATTATTGGGTTTGCCGCACTAGTTTGATATACTGTACCGTTCTTTTTTGCCATAAAAGGTGGTACCCTCCTGTAAATTAACATAGACTTGGACGGCCCACCGTTCGTAGATCATGATCTGAATGGGAAAGCAATGCGTTTTCCACATCTATGGGCATATTTACCCCAGGGTATACGCGGGTTTCGGAACATGGGGGTACCACCCATATCATCCATTTTAGTGTTTTTTGTTCTCCATCATAAACCATCCATTTTGGGGTACCACCGTTTTGTGATCTCAGCAGCCGATGTAGAATCTTTGAGTTTTATGGGATGATTTAAGGGGTTTTCTTTCAGGTATCCGGGACCAGCAACGAGGGGAACCGGGACCAGTTACCCCCTTTAGCCTTGGGGGCGACCAGGGCTCCGAGATCCCCATGATCCGTATATTTGATAGGTCTTCTCAATGAACGATATAGTATGATATACCCTGTGGTGAACTAGCATAGCAATGGAAAATGGCTATTTATAGTGGATTTTCCCATTAAGAATGGTGATTTTCCATTGCTATGTTAATTTACCAGAGGGTAGTATACTAATTCCCACATGCAACCCATGGTGCTGGTATATAAAATCCTACATGACTGGGTCATTTATAGATTTTGGACAAGGGTAAATGTTTGTAAATAGTCCAGCATGGTGAGCATATGAGATTATCTATAGTGATATGTTTGGTCACTTGCTTGGCTAATCCCATCCCATCCCAATATGAAATACCCAGTAGACCTCAAGATGAATGGATCCAATGTTACCGATGGAATCAGACCAGTACTGGAGAGGAATAGGTCGGATAGGTGGGTCAAAGTCTACCCCAAAGAGGTGCTGCTGCTGCCCGAAAACATTGGTGGCGGCCATGTGTTGATCTAATGGGTTTGCCTGAAAATATGATACCTTTAAAAAATCATTGTTTTCATCATGGTCCCAAGCCATAACCATTCAGGAGTATAGCCCATTTTCAGACAGACCCATATCCAAATATGCATGATTGTTTTTGTTTGAAGAAATAGAGTCGGGAGTCTATATATTTTCCGGCAGTGCCAATGTATCGTAGATTTGTTGCTGACAGGATAGCCCCCACCCTTGGGACAGCACATGACGGAGACATAGTCCGGCGTGTTGTGCGGACAGCGCAGACAGCGAAGGAAAAATGGAGGGCGATCGGTCACTGGCCTAGGGATGAGGACGGCAGCAATTTTGGCAGTTTTTAGGGTTCATTGTGTTTGTTACATGGAATGTTTGCAGGACATTTTTTTCTGTTAGTGTTGCGATTGAAGACTGGGGTTTCCGGCACGATTTCCTTTCGTCCAAGTCTGGGAACAGCTATATGCAAAAGAACCTTGCCCTGGACATGTCATGACATTTCTTTATATTCGTTGTCCTCTCTACAGCTGATGCTCCAATGACAGCTAGCCATCCAGGATGGTGGACAAATCGACGGTTTTCGTAATGGGTTAAGGTACCCCGGATCCTCACCCTTCGGACTTCCGAATATGAAGCGCGTTTGGGGCCCCACTATTTGGGCGTTTTGATGTCCAATCTGTCCGATTCTGGCGATGATCATGCATCTCTGGCTGGTGGTTTCAAACATGAATGGATTATTTTCCATTTCATATATGGGATGTCATCCTTCCCATTGACGAACTCATATTTTTCAAGATGGCTAAAACATCCGCTAAAGCATGTTAAAACCACCAACCAGATCATGAAAGCACTGGTGTGATCAGTTTGGAAAGTTGTCCCAGCGCATCCGCAAGCTAAATGACATGCAATGACCCCATTGGAATTGGGATGCATAGCATCATTACTCATCATTTCTATCCAAAAAAAATCCTGGGATAGATTGGAATCTTACAAGAATAAACCGTACGTTTTGGGGCAAAATAAATATTGATGAAATCCGCTTAGAATATCTTCGAATTTCATGTTTGGGAGGTTGAATTGCTACAAATCTCATCCGCCCAATATTAAAACACTCCCCAGAAACTACGGTTTAGTAGGGGATTTGTACATACTTGAGAGTTATACAATGGGCGTGTTTAATACGAGCAGGAATTGTTTCCTGTTGGCGGATCATCTCAGTGGTTCACAAGAACCCAGGTGAACAAGTCCCCATTCAGCGGGTTATCCGAATTCTAAGTGGTTTATAACTGATAACCCCCATTTACTAGTGGATTTGAAAAGTCCTCATCTAGAATCTAGTCCTTCCAATAATCCAATAATCCTCCAATGATCCAAGAATCCTCCTATTTATTCATGGGATGTTTATGGTTTTTCAATGGTGGCATGCCACCGTTTTGTTCTCCGCCAGGGCCACATGTCCAGGAATCCAGCCGAGGATGACGATCCGGTGAGTTCTCTGCTTTTAGAATACCTCCCAATGGGACATGTACATATATATATATATTAATATATATTAACATGTTCCATATAGAACATTGTCCATGCATATGGAAATATAAAAAAAAGTAGGGAACATGCATATAGATATATCTATCTATATATATATATAACATACATATAAAACATTGTCCATGGTCCATGTTATCTCATTTAGATTCATGTAGCTCAAAACAAGGAGATTTTCAACAGGCAACTTCGACCATGAGATGGTAAGTTTCATTGTGGCTCAGGTTTCCATGTTTTACGGCAGATATTGGAGGAGCTAAGGGGGACCATCATGAAAAGCCTGCTCAATGTGGAGCTGAATGCATCACTCTCTTCGTTGGTGTTATTTCCACTAATGTTTTGTTGTCTCAAGGGATGACAGTTTTGCTGATGTTTGAATCACCTGCTCCCTTGCGAAATGGCGTAGATCATCGAATGGATCCTTTTAAATTAATCCCGTTCCCCTAATATTAAAAAAGGCCCTCCCAGAAACCATGCTTTGGCGATTTGCACATCTTGGGACTTAAAAAAAACGGGTGTGTTTAATGTGAACGGGGGGGATTCATCAACCGTCCAGCTGGGATTCTGAGATGGTGGTTGATTGAATCCCTTGAGACTAATAAGTCTCAGTCTTGGGGAATCATCCAAGCAGCTAGGGTATCTTATTCTTAAACAACATATGATGGTTTGGCGGTGGGTCTCCGCTTTTCCTATTCATCACCGTGTTTGATGTTGGTGAGTTGTCACAGTTCAGCCAGATTGATTGTAATTTTGTGCAGGTCCTTTTTTCCCGTTTTGCACCATAACCAGCATAAAGCATCAATCTGCATAATTTATCCATCATTAACCATCAATAAACCATCGTAAACCATCAATCAACCATCATATAACCATTAATGTGGTAAAACAAAAATAAACTACCATTTAGGAATGGTTTATGCCACCTATTTATATTGATGTGGGGAATGGTTCATGGCATTGTTTTACCCGCATTATTGTGATTGTTATGAATTCTATATGGTTACTTTACTTGTCTATATGATTTTCTATATTAACCGCATCAATCAACCATCAATCAACCATCATATAACCATCATATAACCATCATACAACCATTACTGGTTGGTGGTTTGGAACATTTTTTTATTTTTCCATATGTTGGGAATAAGGTGAACAACTGACTAATATTTTTCAGAGGGGTTGAAGCCACCAACCAGATTATGTACCATACTCATTGGAGTTATTTCTCAACATCTTTGGCACCGGGACCCTAGGACCCTGGGACCCTGGGACCCTGCCGCAGGCCTCGGCCCTTTCTGCCTGCGATGTGGACGCCTTGCAAAACGCACGCAGTCCGGGAGGCCGATTTATAGGGGGGTTTCTCGATGGGGGCGTCGTGTTTGTTGTTGATGCAAATCAATATAAATACTGGTTGGTGGTTTCAAACATGAATGGATTATTTCCCATTTCATATATGGGATATATAATCCTTCCCATTGACGAACTCCATCATTTTTCAAGATGGTTAAAACCACCAACTAGAATAGGTGGCATAAACCATGCCAAAAAATGGGTGGTCTATGACTTTGTTTTACTATCCGGGATGCCATTTCCACTACAAAATGCTATGGCCGCCATGGCCACTATAGAAGCATTCCCAGTGATGGGTGGTAAAAATTACATTGTTTTACCCACATTAATGGTTATATGATGGTTGATTGATGGTTTACGATG